GGCCCCCTCTGCCCCTAGTTCCACACTCTAACCCTTATCGTTCCACGGCAGGAAGAGGCATGGAGACACGAACCCAAGGAAATGCCAAAAGTGTTTCTCTGCAAGTGCAGGGCACAGCCAGGCTAAGCCACCCACCGACATCCAGGACTTCTCGGGACAGAGAATGGGAGCAGGTGGGAGCCACACGCCCACTAACTGTGCTCTCTGCATGAAAGTCTCAAGAGGCAGAGGAGCCCAAAGTGAGATCCCCAAAAGGGCAGATTCCATAGAGGCACATCCAGGCCCACATGTCCTCAAGTTCATCCCTCTCCTCCTGACTGTGGGACTCTAGCTCAAAGGATCCTTGTGGCAGCTTCCCCCGACCCCATCAGGGCACCCCTCCAAGCGAGATGTGCCACTAACACAAGGGATCAGGATTCAGGAGGGACTGGCCTCAACACGTCTCTTCCACATCTCACTGTGTGGGCTTGGATACCTCTGTAGAGTCGCTTGTAAAGTGGAGGTAACAAGACCTGCCCCACACAGCTCAGAATTGAGGTAACGTGTGCCGGTTTTTATACATCACATACTGGTGTACAAATGCAAAAGACCATTTTTATTATTCCACAGAGTGGGTTCTTATTAAATGACAAAATTCTCTAAAAAGCCTGTGTAGGTTGGATGGGACTTTCATATTTTTAGCACAAGGGGACATGCTCGTGTTGGTCCCTGGTACAGGCCCCAGGCCTTGTCCATATGGCTCCGGGGGCTTTGGCCCAAGACGACCTCTGAAACATTTAGTTATCTTCCCACAGGTCCAGGGAAGGCCGTCTTCCTCCCGGATGCACAGACATAACATCCTCTCTCAAAGTTGATTTCCATTGAGACACAGTAGCTTCTTCCCCAAGGGAGCGTTACTCATTCCGTCAGAACTCACATCAGATCTCTCCATGCACTGAAACCCAGCTTGGAAGACGCTCAAAAGGATGTGGGCCTCCTGGTTTGCCTGGGCCTTTCCCAGTGCTACTGGATCAGTCTGCTTCTCCCTCGCTGGCTCACCCTGAGGTTGTTGGAACCACCTGCACAGTGTGCTCGTAGGAAAAGCAGAAGATGGGCCACCGTCTTAGGGGTAGCAATTTAGGGCAGTCATCCAGGCAGCATTACAGGGGCTCCAGTGCCCTGAAGTGTGGGTTCAAATCCTGGCTTTGACACTATCTGTTAATGTTGGGCTCTTTACTTATAAAATCTGGGTAAATACAGTAGTTCCTACCTCATCAGTTTACTCGCATTAAATGACATAAGGTGTGTTAAAATGCACTTTAGTCTTATTGCCGAGTTTGCGCCTTCAGCTACTGACTTAACTCCTACATGCCTTTGGCTTTCCCTTTCTCTTATTAACGGTTCCAAATACATAATAAACAAACAATAAACAAATAAATAAATAAATATCTTCTGCTAACCAGGAGGCGATTATATTTTATCTTGCCCAGTCTTCAGGACTTGCTCCAAGGTCTCCCGTCTGGAGAATGTTCCACAGCTCCTTGAGGTTAGGTCACCTGCTCCACAGGAGTGCTCATTTGCGTAAGTGCTCTTGGCACTACATAGTAACTGTTTATGTGTGTTTCTCCATTAGATTTTTTTCATCTTTTTTAACGTTTATTCATTTTTGAGAGACAGAGAGAGACAGAGACCGAGCAGGGAGGGGCAGAGAGAGAGGGAGACACAGAATCTGAAGCAGGCTCCAGGCTCTGAGCTGTCAACACCGAGTGATGTGGGGGCTCGAACCCACCAACCGTGAGATCATGACCTGAGCCAAAGTTGGACGCTTAACCGACTGGGCCACCCAGGCGCCCCCAGACTATTAACAACTTAAGGTTTAACAACAACAACAAAAAAGCAGATCACACAGTACCTTGTTGAATAATGTTCAATAAATGGCAATTGTACTGTAATTCCCTAGAATTATTATTCACATTAATTCTGCTACAGAGGCAGTTTGCTATCTCCTACTATTATAGCTTTGGGAGTGTCCCTACAGATGGAAGGAGTGCCTGGGAGTAGAGACAGTTGTCAAAGATGGACTTGTTCTTCTTCTGTCAGGAAGTAGGATGAGATTCATTTTTCTCGTTGATTAGGCTCTGGATTCAACTGGAAAAAATCAATTACAGTACCATAGTCTCTGAGTACTTTATTCTCTAGTGGGTTAAAAAAACAAAATCCCAGACTACCATGCGACAAATGGGTCACAGGACGTTCTTTCAGGATGTAAGTGTGTAAAAAGTAATATCTTCCATCTGATGGCTGAGACTTGGGGACACTGACTTTTTGGTATTGATAGTACCTTCCCAGAGGAGGCGCTCTGTGGGCACCTGCTAATCAATGGATGGATGAATCCTCGAGTGGCAGCTCTGGGCCTGTGTCTGAAGCAGCTAGAGGAACTGACGCTGGACACAGCCCTGGCCTTTATTCAGAATTAAAGGGCAAAGTTTTAAAGGCTGCTCAGACTCTTCCTGCTTCAGAGGTATTGTCTCTAACCCTCACAGAACAGGGTAGCACTGCAGATAGGAAGTGGGGACTCTGCCTCGACATCATCTAATGACAACCACATGTCTGGTACTTCAACTGCATCATATCTAAACCTTACAACCAGCCCATGAGTAGAACTCATGAGCTCATTTAACAGATAAAGGAACAGTGGTCCAGGCTAACAACAGCCCAAGACCCTACAGACTAGAATCCTCATCTGTCTGCTCTGCCTCTTGGAGAGTAGCCCAAGTTGGTGAAGAGAGAGGGACTTATTCTCTTCCTCTTTCACATCTCCAGACATACTTCAGGAGCGCTAGGCTCCGGAGGCAGGCTTGTGAGCTCCCGAAGGTTCCCTGAGAACTCTAGGAAGGTGACAGAGAGAGGCACGGTTTGCCGAATTTGGAGAGTGTGCACTAGGCCAAAGTGTAGCATAGAATGATTTATTGATATGGTCTCAAGACCCACTGACCCCTCCCTTTTCTCTCTCTCTCTCTCTCTCTCTCTCTCTCTCTCTCTCTCTCGTACACACACACACACACACACACACACACACACACACACACACACAGTCATTTCACTGAGAGTGTCTGAACCAATAACAACGCATACATTAATTGAGGCTGATATGTTCATGAGAATCATCAACATCCTCCTAAGTACAGGACAAACTCAATTCCACAACTGAATATGCACAAGTATTTGTGTGTATACTAATCATATAGTCAAGAGAATTCCAAACTACTGGTTGGATCTTTCTTGAAAATCCACTTGGCCCCTGATGGGATCACCCAACCCCATTTGGAAAGGGGTGACCCCAGTGTAAGCTGCTACTGGCTCCCTGTTCAGAGAGCAAGACCTCTCATAGAGCTCAGCTGTTGCTCAGGCATCCAGTAAAGCTGGTCACGCAAAAGCAGAAAATGTGACAACTGTTGGAAACCTTCCCACAGCCTATGGGAGCAACTGAACGTTCTCTGGAGCAGTCACTTCATGGGCAGTTAAAGCAGCCTATTATTCAGTTTATATAAAACACCCACCAGCTACTTGGCACCAATAACTGAATATCTCCATTCTTACCAAGTTCGTGACACGATGGCCACACTGCCTTGCCACTAGGTTTAGAAACCATAAACAACTTCATTAACCATCAAGATACACATGCACAGAGGGAAAGGGAAAGAAAAAAAAAAAAAAAAAACAACTTTCCTGAGTTCTGAAGACCATGTTCAAAGATTGCCCAACAGGCAAAAAAACCATAGCATTTCAACATTGCCAACAAATGTCCCTCTCGCTTCAGTGGTAAAATCTCCAAGACATTTCAGATTTGAAATCGTTGATAAAGAGGTTCTCAGTGCTACGGAAATCATATCAAATGCTTCTTTTAAAGAGAAGGGCCTGTATGCATTTTCCCTATGAAGAACCTGTCCAAAGGATTTCGAAAACACTTTAATATACTTTGCTTCCAAAACATTACACATCGTTTCTCCAACAAATTTATATGTGTTTCCAGAGAACTCCTGGACCAAAAAAAAAAAAAAAAAAAAAAAGGTACTTAGGTAGAAGAACGTCTGGAGACTCTTTTATGCCAGTATGTTAACAGACCTTCTCTTTTAATTGTTATTATTTCATATAGCAGCAGTAATCATTCCCTCATCTGCAAAGGAAATATATAATCCAGCTGTGGTGGCTCCAGTGAAAATACCACATCTGTGGATCATTGGCAACACTGTGGCAAGATTGCTCAAATCTACACAGTCCCAGAAAGTTCTCTTTTGTACTCAAGATGCACGAGGGTACACTTTTCTGAAACTGCATGTAAACTTTGCCAAAACTGGTTGTGCCTTTGTATGCTAAAAACAGGTTTCAGATTATCCACCCCCTTAAGAAGGATGCTCTCTTGGAACTTTATGCCCAGGACCCAGTCGTCAGCAGAAGTCCCCAGATCCCGCCAGGATGGAGGCTTGTGCCAGCGTCCTTGTCAATATCAAACAGCACAGGGGAAATTAACGCCCCGGTTTCAGGAGGAGGTTTCTACCGCGTGGCTGGCAGTGGAGCTGACTGCTGGTTTCCCACTTAGGAGACCGAACAGCTTCCACAAGAAGGGTGGCAGCCACCGTTCAGGTCGCCGTTCTCTTGGTTCTCCAGGGTATGCAGTCAGAGTAGTACGGATCACTGGGTGATAATATTCCAGGAATCGCCCCTTCCCCCCAAGCCCACCCCCATGCGTCTGTTCGGTCTTTTCCCAAAGCCCAGTAGCAAGCATTTTATTTCTAAGCCAATCTTCCACATTCAAATTCCCAGCCCAAAGCGCGCCCTGGGGGTTTCTGTCTACAGACGTAATAAAAGAAACGGCAATGTAGCTGAGCCTTGACAGACTTTTATCCCCCAAACACATGCCCTGCGGCTACTGTGCTGGAACGTCGATGGCCCCAAAACACTCGGGGTCCCCCTTCCATCCCAGACAATAGAGCAAGAAAATAAAATGAAAGTGGACTTACTGCTATGGCTTGCAGCCTTTCCTTGTGCAATTCCGCCTCTGCCATCCTGGAGAAGGGCACACAGGGAGGGGAGAAAGAAAAACAAAACACACGCTGTAGTGACCTGAGGAAATGGATGGGCACCCCGAGGGGCTGCGCTAGAAGCCCGGGGAGAGCCGAGGGGCGGCCGGGGATCCGCTCTTGGGGTGGCGGGCAGAGCTGTGCGCGCGGCTGGCTCGCCGGCTCAGCCTCCGGCCCCCGCCCGCCTGGCTGCGCCCCAGCGCCGCCGCTAACTGCACAGCTCCCGGCCGCCGGCGGCCGCGCCAGTCGGGGACGTGGGCCACGGGCAGCCGCCGGGAGGGCGCGCCCGCCCCGCGCTGGTCCTCCGCCCTGACGTCTCGGCGCCTCGCTCCGCCCCTGGGGTGTGGGGGACCTGCGGCCGCCGCCCCCCTTGGCTCTAGGCAGGCAGGAGACGGCGGGCTGTCGCGGCGGGGGAGGTGGGGTCCCCAAGGCGCGGACGGGGAGCGCGCTTGCGGGTGGGCACCTGGGGCGAGGGCGCACGGCGAGAGGCTAGGGCGCACGGCCGGCTCCGGGGTGGACGCGCGCTGAGTCCGGGCAGGGCGAGGTGGCGCCAGTGCCAGCCAACAGAGGGGCCTGAGGCAGAAAGCGGGGCCCGGAGCGCGAACTGTGACGTGCGGGCTGTGGCCACCGAGTATTCTGGCCGCCTTCTAGCGCATGCCAGATACTTGGGCTTCACGTGAGGACGTTTCCAGTAGGGAAGGGCTGCCTCGCCCACATGCCTTAGATGGCGAGGTCCTCGCACGTCAAGTGGACGGAGGGCAGGGTATAGCTCAAAACAGGCCACCCCTCTGTGAGGCCAAATGCGACTTAGGAAGACAGCAGAGAGTTTGTAGCCTTCGGAGCTCCACCAGGCGGGGCTTCACAGCTTAGCTGTGAAACCGTGGGCAGCTCACTTAACCGCTCTGAACCTCAGTTTCCTCATCTGAAAAATGGGGTGTCCTCAGTGATTAATGAGATAAACTATATAAAGGTGCTTTGTAAAGGGCAATCTGTCCTGATCATTATCCTGTGACATTCTGGGCTGCAATGTTGAGTCTTTTCTTCCGTATGCCGTGGGAAGTGGGATCTGGTCACTGAAATGCTTCACCTATTCTTTAAATAGTACTAAAGTGCATCTTTTGCGACAGGCCCTGGGCTGAATGTGAAAGATGGATCAGACCCAGTCCAAAAGGAAATAAATGCTAAAAACAAAAGAAATACTTCTTAATATTCAGGAGGGACCTGCTAAAATTCCGAACATTCGTAAGTAAGCTTTCCTGTATAAAATGAAATCATAAACACTGAAGAAAAAAAAAAAAAAAGGCAATGTGACCTCTATAGACCCTTGATGATTCTATAAACACAGGACTTGAAAGGCATTCTAAAAGGTATGCACATCAAATTTCCCCAAATCACCTCTTTCCTGGGCAAATTCTTGCAATTCAACTAAATTGCCTTTTCAACTTTCACAGAGGTTTTACCTGTCACTTGATGAGCAATTACTCCTCTGCCCGAAGACTGAAGTTAGTCCCCAAAACAGTTTTACTGATTGATTGTTTTCTCTTCCTTTTCATAACGGGTGTGGGTGGAGCTGTGTCTGTGTCATAAATCGAAGCCAATGCCAGATTCCACATTCTCACTCCAATATATATCCAGAACTCCTACTTTCTGGCTGAGATCTATCCCTTTCTTCAAATACTTCATTTTCTCCTCACTTCCAGCACCAGCTCCCACAGGACAAGTTCTTTCCAGGGTGTTTGCTCACAAATAAACCAAGCTGTTATTGCTTCAGCAGAGTGACTGTGTACCCAACAATAGTGGAGAGTAACAAGATGAGAAAAGTGAGGCCCATGAGGTTGAGAGACTCAGCCAGAGCCATAAAGCTGAGATTTAAACTCAGATCAGACTCTCCAGAGCCCATGCTCTTTAGCACTCAGCACAGGTTCAGCAAGTGATACGGTTGGCGGGGTGGGGGGGGGGGGGGTGGGGGGAAGCAGACCCCTATAATAAGCAAGTAATGAATAAGAACTGGACTGTACATTTAAAATTTGTTTAAATGGTAAATTTCATGTCATGTATATTTTACCACAAAAAAATTTTTTTTAAAGGAGTAAAGAAGGGAGATGGGATGGGAGAAGAGCCTGGTCACCCGTTGGAAATGACCAGTTGGAAAACTCTGAATCACAGGTGAAAAGAATCAGGATTGGGGATATAAATTTGGGTGTCAACTATTTTGAGGTTATAGCTAAAGAAATGAGAATGGCCAGAGTGAGAAAACAGAACAAGAAGAGAAGAGTGGCACCTGGGTGGTTGAGCATCCGACTCTTGATTTTGGCTCAGGTGATGATCCCAGGGTCATGGGATGGAGGCCTATGTCAGGCTCCATGCCAAGTGTCGACCCTGCTTAAGATTCTCCCTCTCTCTCTCTCTCTCTCCCTCCCTCCCTACCTCCCACCCCTCTCTCCTGCTCATGCTCTCTCCTTCTCTCTCTCTCTCTCTCTCTCTCAGAAGCAGAAGGAGGAGGAGGAGGAGGAGGAGGAGGAGGAGGAGGGGAAGGAGGAGGAAAGAAAGCCCAGTAAAGGAGTCTGAGAAATATCATCTGAGAAGCAGAAGGAAAAATCAGGAGGGGTGTTTGTATCAAAAGCCACAACAGGAGAAAAGGGATTTTCAAAAGGGTCAGATGCTTCTGAGAGGTCAAGAAGGATGCAGACTAAGAAGAGGCTATTGGCCTGGGCAGTCAGGAAGCCATAGGTGACATTGGGACAGTAACGTGTGTGTGTGGAAAGTCAGCCCGGAAGTGATTATAGGGAGTTGAGAATGAATGAAAAGTAAAGGGAAAGCATCTATGAGTATGAACCACTCCTTTCAGATCTTTGGATATGAAAGATGAAGGTGATTGGAGGAACAGGAAGGTGGTCTATGTGAAGCAGGGTCAAGTTAAAGGGTCATTAGGTCAGGTAAGACTTGAAATGTTTCTGGAATGAAGGGAATTATGGCATCAGGAAAGTGAGGCCAAAGACACAATCAGAAGGGAAAATAAGTATTAAGTCTCAGATTAGACCATGAGCACTGGTAGCCTTGGAAGGAAGGAGTAATTAAGCAGGGCAGGAGGATGGAATGGGTAGAAACAAGAAGAAACTTTAAGATGAAGGAGAGAAAAGTTGAGTGAGTGTGTGACACGTGGCCTCATTTTCCCACCTAATGGAAGGATCGTTGGGGTGCAGGTGGGGTGGGGGACTTCAAGAGAACAGAAATGATTTGTAAAGAAGCTGTGGAAAATGGGAAATATTAAGACATGGTTCCGAACCAGAAGTTTGCATCAAAATTTCCTGGAGCACATTTCCCTGAACATATACAGAAATAAATTCCTATGGGGTGAGGTAGGGGTTAGGGATGGGTTTAGAACCACTATACTGAGTTTACTAGAAATAGACAAAAGATTCATGACCAATTGTGTATACCTCCTCAGTGGTTTCTAACTACCTAAAACCCATGACACACACTGGTTGTGTGTTCACTCAGCGTTGAAGATTGTCAAGGCCGGTATGGCAAAAAGTCAAAGGAGAGATGAGATTCAGAATGCTGAACCCTGGGGTTTTGTCCAGGTGGAGGTGTAGCTGACTGATGTTGTTTGGATGCCCAATTTGCAAACCCCTTTCCTCTTTGGGGAATTCTCATATTACAAGCCATAGTGAGAGTTGAGAGCCACCTCTCATCATAGAACCTGGGAAATACCAGACACTTGCTTCCCCAGATCCCACAGAAGTGACAATATGGCATGCAATCTGGGCTCAGTCAGGCATGAGCATCTGCCAAGGATCTTGAAGACACAGCATCCCAGAATTCTTTCAGGCTGGTAGCTCACCTTTGGTCCTGCCCATTGTCCAAGCCCCCTTCTCTAGCCTTCTCGGCTATTCTGTGAATACACTTTCAGTTCCTGCCTTCTGTGCTCCTATCAACTGGAATCAGTTTCTATTGCTTGTCACTAAGAATCCTAAGTGAAACAGGAAGGCTTGTGAAATGAATGGCTGATGCTTGGCCACAGAGCAGAGGGAAAACATCTTCTCCTCTCACAGCACGGCTGTCTTCAAATCTCTACATTTTAGAATTTGAAAAATCATTGAATCCATTACAAACACAGACATTCCTAACCCAAATTATGCCACTTCTTTCATAAACTTTTATTGTGTAGCTATTCTGTACTAAACATTAGGCTATGGCTTGATATCACAAAGAATTCATAGTCCAGTGCTAATATTGGTGACTTGTTGTCTTCCACACATTTACAATCTGGAAAGATCTATTACAATGGTGCAGAATGTGTGTAACGAATCACTAGTTCATGCTGGGATATTAAATTGTGTTGTGTAAGCACTACCCGTATTGTTTAACGGTTTTTCTGATAGATGCTGCATTCCAAAGCATTACATGGAGAGAATACGGAATGCTAGATTTGCAAAATAGATGTTTTATTAATAAAAGTTTCAGTCTATTTTAGAGGATGAGTCCTTTGGGAACCACAGATGAACATAGCCTACTCCCCTGGGGGGAAAACAGGAGCCCTGTAAACTGAGAGGGAAATGACTTGCCAAGACCCGTTGAGTGAGTAAAAGTTAAAGTCTTGTTAAGTGGAAGCTAGGAGCGTGAAATTTCAGAGTAACCTGAAGCTTTCTCTTGACAAAAGTAATTTTAAAAGGAATGCCCGGGTCCTCCACAGTGTTTGTATTCGTATGAGCTCTCTTTTGCCTTTTAGGGTCTTGTAGAATATGTAGTCATTCAAAACATATGTAGTAGCTCTGCACAGAATCAAAAGGAGGGGAACGGTGGTTGGAGGCTTTTGGCTCCTTTGGTTGTGAACAATTTAGGAAAGTTGATGGGATTTCAAGTATGTGCTGTGTTTCTCTATGTGATTTGAATGATAGATTCATCTAGAGAGTTTCCATGGGGCAAGAAAGAGAAGTTAGAAAACAGAACCAACCAAGATTAGGCTGGATGTCACTTAAGATG